GGTAGTGGGGCCTGAACTCTGGGCCTGGGCGCTGTCCCTCAGTTCTTTAGCTCAAGGCTAGCACTCTACCACTTGAGCCACAGTGCCACTTTCAGTTTTTTCTGCTTATGTGGTACTGAGGAATCGAACTCAGGGCCTCATGCATGCAAGGCAAGCACTCTACCACTGAGCCACCTTCCCAGCTGTGAAGAAGTATTTTTAAAAGAAAGAAATCATCAGCAACTTGTCAGATCTTTTTCTCCGCAAATACCAATCTTTCCTTACAAAATCTTGACATACTGTATGTACTGCTCTATGTAATATTTTATATATAGATCACATATATATGCTGTTCTACTATATGTAATATGTGCATATGTATATTATATATACTTTAGTTTGAGATTTCTCAGTTTAAACCTCCAGTGACATCAGTAATCTCCTAAAAGCTAAAGCAATACTAATTGAATTTGAAGCAGAAAAAAATAGTTCCCTCTCTCAATTTTATGAGTATCACATGCTGCCAGAATTTGAGGACACTCACCATAACCACATCATCTACAATTCAAAAATCAAGAAACTAGATTTAAATCTGCCTTAAGTATAACCAAAGAGCTCATTTTTAAAATTTTTTCAGATTTAATCATTCTTTCTTACATCAAAAATAACAAAATTGCAGGGTGACATTAACACATGATCATGAAACAAAAATGTGTTTCATGTCATTAGTCACAGGCTATATATCAGCCAGCTGTCGAAGTTAAAAATATGCCTTAATTTGAAATTTTGTAAAATACAAGCATTCAACACTCATTCTGAAATAAATGTAACTTCCTTTAGTTTCTCCCAGCCCACTAGAAGCTCTGTAGAGGCACACATAAGCACCTCTAAACCACAGAAAAAAAAGGGTAATGATTGGGAAATCCAAACAAACTTACTAACCATCAACTTTACCTAGCAATAAACATATGTTAAGAATGACAATTTAATGGCACCACAAGTATAAACAAAACCACCAGTTCTCAATAAACCAAGAGTCTGGAACACAGATCAAGTTATGAATAATAATATGTGTGCATTTTCTTGGGGGAGGAATGAGCAAAGGAGAACTGAATGTAATAAAACAAGTATTGTCATAGTTTTTTCTCCTCTCTGGGAAAAGAAACAAAAACTCTCAGGGTTGGAGTCTGCAGTAAAAACTTCCCAACCCTTCAACACCAGCAGTGCGGAGGAAGCTTCTAGTCTGCAGATTCTCCTCCTTTGCAAAGTGGCAGAAGGTAACTTGTCTTCCATCATGAGATCTCATGGCCCAGGTAAACTCTGCCACCCTAAAATATTTATGAGCAGGCAGGTAATGGAATAATCTGAAATATAAACACTCCAACTGGATTTCAAATGGAGAAAAAGATGAAAAAAAAGAAGAGAGTCTAGTCTTTGAAATTCCCAGGCATTTGAAAAGAAAATACACTTTGCTCAACTCCAGCCAAGTCCCACTCCACCTCCTAATCAGTGCTTTTGCCACTGCACCACGTGCCACACATCAATCAGTGTCTTCCTATGATAAAATCCTTTACTGAAATCAGAACATTGCAGCCTGGGAAGAAACTTTTGAAAGCAAAAGAGTATTTTTCTGGCTTTTCATTTCTTCTTTTAAATAGGCTCCATCCAACTAGATTCTAAAAAGTAGTTGCCACCAGGAGGCACAGACTGTCTTACAGTTTTCCTGTCCCACATACAGCCTTGCTAAATACATAGTTGTTAAATGAATGTTTAAATCCAGGCGAAAAAATGATGGCACTGTTATAATGTGAACTCACAAGAAAAATTTTTTGGCTATTCAAGCACTAGAGATCATTTAGAAAAATCAATTAATTTCTAAATGCCAGTATGATGGATTTTAGAAAATTAATGTTTTTTTGGCTGGGTACTGTGCACTCTCCCTGAACTTTTCTGCTCAAAGCTAGTGGTCTACCATTTTTAAGCCACAGCTTTACTTTGGTTTTCTGGTGGTTAATTGGAGATAAGTGTCTCTTGGACTTTCCTGCCCCAGCAGGCTTTGGACTTCAATCCTCAGATCTCACCCTCCTAAGTAGCTAGGATAACAGGCTTGAGCAACCAGCACCAAGCTAGAAATTAGTTTTTAAAAGTCTTCTGGGGCTGGGAAGGTGGCTCAGTGGTAGAGTGTTTGCCTTGCATGCATGAGGCCCTGGGTTTGATTCCTCAGCACCACATAAACAGAAAAAGCCTAAGTGAGGCTGTGGCTTAAGTGGTAGAGTGCTAGCCTTGAGCTGAAGAGCTTGAGGGACAGCACCCAGGCCCAGAGTTCAGGCCCCATGACCCACAACAACAATAAAAGTCTTCTGATACCAGGTGCCAATGGCTCACGCTTGTAAGGCTAGCTACTCAGGAGTCTGAGATCTGAGGATCACAGTTCAAAGCCAACAATGGCAGGAAAGTCCGTGAGACTCATCTCTAATTAACCACCAGGAAACAAGAAGTGGTACTGTGGCTCAGGGACAGCATCCAGGCCCAGAGTTCAAGCCCTGTGACTGCCCGCCCCCCCCCAAAAGTCTCCTGGATCCCCCTCTTAAATTCTTAGTGAATTCTGGTCTATATATACTCTAAGTATAGCAATTTGAAACTGTATACATTCATGCTCAAAGACTGGTAACAATTAACCCTGAGACCAGTAAGGTAATTTATCAAACTTCCAATCAAGGAAGGAGAAAAATGAGAGGGGGAGGAAAAAAACATCAAGTGAAAGTCAGAGAAACGTCTCTCCCTGTAAACTCCCTTCTGAATGCTGTTTTTCCCCCATCTCTAATCATTGATTAGTTCCCAAATCAGATACTGGTCTTGGAGTCAGAGAAGGAAAATAAGTAAAGGATGATGACACTAGTTGGGCACAATGGCTCAAAAATAACCAAGTGCAAAGCCAGGCACTGGTGGCTTATGCCTGTAATCCTAGCTATTCAGGAGGCTGAGATCTGAGGATCACAGTTCAAAGCCAGCCCGGGCAGGAAAGTCCATGAGACTCTTATCTCCAATAAACAAATAGAAAACCAGAAGTAGTGCTGTGGCTCAAGCAATAGAGTGCTCGCCTTGAACTGAAAAGTGCAGGGACAGCACCCAGGCCAACAGTTCAAGCCCCACAACAGACAAAAAGAAAGAAAAAAAATAACCAAGTGCAAAAAAGACTTGAGCCATGGCTCAGCAGATAGGGTACATGCGTGGGAAGCATAAGTCATTGAGCTCAAACAGAAGGAAGGAAGGAAGGAGGCAAGCAAGCAAGCATGCAGGCAACATTGAGTTTATAGATTCTACCAAAAATCTTACCATAAGCCAGTCTACATGACAACTGCTCAATAATGGGAGGTTTAATAGCTACTAAATCCCTACCATGAAAAAAGAGACAGAAAAATAATATTATCTCTGTAATATACTTCAAGCAGTAAATGAGAAACCAGAGGACCTTCACAAGCATTCCTATTCCTGGTAAATTCAGAGTAAAGCAGGTCAATGAAATAAAAGAGGTCATGCATCTTCCCTAGTTCCCATGCAGGGCACAAACAAGGAACAGACTGAATCACTTAGCTAGAAAAAGGGCTGGCTAAAACCTGTCATTGAGAGCCAAAGGGCAGATAAAAATAATCCTACCAGCTGGACATAGTGGTACACATTGGCACTTGAGCAATAGTAGGATCCCAATTTCTATGTAGGCTACATAAAAATAAAAACAAAACAAAGCACTGTTTGGGGGTTTTTCACTGCTAGTCAGGATATTCAGAAATGATGGAGAGCAAAATGATTTTGTCTTCTTGAACTAACCTGGACTTAGAACCAGAGCTGATACCAAATTTACAAACATATTTCAATCACTTAAAGGAAGGACTGCTATGCGTTTAAAGACCTGAGCATTATCTTCATTACTCTCACTTGTTTTACCACCAAAGAGTTATAGGCATTAAATGCTGAAAGTATCATCTTTCAAAAGAGTCAAAATAGAATTTGCCTGATCTCAGCATGTGTAAAGACATGTAGGCAGGAGATCTTGGCACTGACAAAGATTGTTCCATGGCTCTCACTATGGAAATAGTATGCCTGACTATTTCATGTGCTAAAACCAGAACATAGTAAGAGCTAGGTCAAAGGGAACTGATGAGTAACTGATGACTTGAAAATTCCCTACCAAGCATTTTAGTAGGCCAAGCAGTATTATGTGTTTCAGTATGTTTCAGAATAGCTCAGATTTTACCATAAAAATTTTTCCAGCCCATCCAAAAGTTAAGAGGTTATACTGAAGCTGTAGTTTACACAGAAAAACATAAAAGAAATATGAAAATTTTAAAAATGATTCTGTTCACTCTGTCGCAACAAAAGTTGTTCTATGCCTCACTCTAAAGAAATTACTTTATGCTTGGTATAGTGATTCACACCAGTAATCCTAGGTACTTGGAAGGATACAAACAGGAGGATTGCTGATCAAGGCCAGCCTAAGCAGAAAAGTTCACAAGACCTCTACTCAACCCATAGCTGGGTATGGTGGTACACACCTCTCATCCCATGTTATGTGGGAGGCTAAGAATGGGAGGATCATGGTTCTTGCCAACTCAAGTAGCCAAAGTCCAAGGGATTCCATCTCAGTGGAAAGAAGCTGGGTATGGTAACGTGAGCCTGTCAACCCAACTATAATGGGAAGACTAATATCTGTAAATCAAGACCAAGCATGTACCTGGGCAGAAAGTGAGACCCTCTCTCAGTGTAAAACAGGCAGGAGGAGGAGGAGGAGGAGGAGGAAGAAGAAAGAAGAGGAGGAAGAGGAAGAGGAGGAAGAGGAGGAGGTACAGGAAGAGGAGGAGGAGGAGGAGGAGGCAGAAGAAGAGGAGGAAGAGGAGGAGGAGGAAGAGGAAGAAGAAGAAATCATTTTTTCTGAGCAATTTTCATTTTCCTTTAATAATACGCCAAAAGATTTTAGGAGCAGCATTCTTTTCAAAGAAGCAACAAAACAATATACTCCTTACATATCTGGATGGCTCTTCTAGGTTCTGGTCATTCATGTCAGTAGGAATAATCTGTGTGGCCAGTGGTCCCTCTGCAAAAGGTTTTGGTAGTTGACCTCTGAACTCTGATGGAATGAACTGTAGCTGCCAGCTGTCAAAAACAGGGGATTAAGAAAAACACAGGGGATTATGTTGCTAAATGTACTTGAAACAAATCATGCGAAAAACATTTCACTTGTAAGAAATATATATATTTCTGCTAAAACCTTAACCAGGGAACAGAGGCAAAGGTCACAACTCAAGTCCAAGATCATTGAGAAACTGACAACTAAGTCTCAATCTATTTCACCACAGTCTCAGAACCAAACTTTGCAACCAGATTTGGTCATTTTACCAAAAAAGAAGAAAAGTGTCCACATTTATTGCCAATTAGCATATGCTCAATTGGAACTAGTGAAATTAAAGCAATTTATTAGGCATCTTAAAAGAATGAATGGAAGGTGAGCTGCTTAATACACTAGGAGAGAAGTACTGACAAGAGAAGTTTCTGAGTAATCACCAAAGGACCTTCACCTAAGAAACTATTTTGAATGTACAAGACAAAGGGCAAAGTCCTTAAAAAACAAGTTTTAATCATTAATGACTGATACAGGATTTTTTTCTTCTTCTTCCTTTTTTCTTTTTTTGTGAAGTGCTGGAGACCAAACACAGGCTCTTGTACATCCTAGGCACTGAGCTACATCCCCAGCCTGCTACAGGATCTTTACTAAGCACAAGATATTGCCACCAGATAAAGGTAAGCTGCTAAAGCCTGTATTCAAATGGAGCAATGTAATTTCCCTTCACCAGAACAAGACCAAATTAAGAAAGATATGAGAAATTTCAAGGCATATGCTGTCACATCTAAAACGACAGAGCAAATGAAGCTGCTTTAGAAACCCTCATCTTCCCAGCGCCTTTTCACTGTTGTACAAAAAAGAATTATTTTCTAAGAAGAGAGATTTTTCTAAGAGATGACTTTTAAAAGTAGATTAATACCAAATAATTATAAAACTGCAAATATAAATCTTTAGAAGGGTTACTAGCAGAAGCCTAGGGCCCCAAGTATTTTCAGAAGTGCCCAGACACCTGAAGTTACAGGGCAGTGCAGTGTGCATACCCAGAAACGGCACCTGTCTAATGAATGTAATGCAGATCCTCAGCAATCAGAGATGGAAGATGGCTCAGTGACTTTCTGCAAAAATTCCTACCCAAAACAACAACGAAGAAGACCATGCCACAGAACTGCCATTTTTATTTTGTCATCTTAAGTTCTGGGAATTGCAGGGTAACATACTTCTCTGGAAGAAGGAAGCTGCTGGGAAATCGATACCATTCTTTTCCCACACAAACATTCACAGGTCTGCCTTCTGGGACAGTGTGAATGGTTGGGTCTGTGGCAATTCGGTAAAATTCTGGATACAGGTCAAGGGGCCCATGATAACCTGGAAGAAAGAACAGTGGAGGAAAGCCAAAGATGAGGAAGATGACATTTGGATATTTAATTACAACGCACATTCACATCCCGCTGTGATCCACATAAAACTGAAAGAATGTAAAGGAAGCTGCTCCTCCTGCCGGAAGTTGGAAAGATGGCTGCAGCAGAGACCCTGTTTTGCCAAACATAACTTGCCCCAATTAGCAACCTAAGTTTAAGCTTCAGCAGCAGCCCTTAAAAGTAAAGGGGGAAAACAATAGAGGAAAAAAATGTGTAACTACACTAAAAAAGAACTGTCAATCTCCTTTTTAAGTCTGAGGTTCAGAAGTCATACCCCAGCCACTGTGCAGTCCACATGCCCTCTCTTTAGGAAAGGCCCCTTCCCAGTGTTAAGTTAAACCATTCTGCAACAAGCGAACCCTGAAGTGAAATGCCTCGTCAGTGGTCATTGCGTCTACCTCTGAACAGTGCCACGGAGCGAGAGAAAGACAGGAGACCAAACAGGAAGACCGTGCCTAACGCCAACCAACTTGATGTCACAGTGTAGTGCTCCAGGCGGTATTGCTGAAACACAAAGTGGTAGCATTTCTAGAAGGAGAGACAACTGTATTGACAAAAGAGACGATACACTCTGCAGAATACATATAATCATGAGCTCTCACAGAAACCCAAATGCAGTAGAAACAGAGGGGTCTGAGCAGATGCAGGCACTTGCCCAAATCCTAAGATCAAAGCCAAGTCCCCTGCACTATCTGGAGGTCAGCCCAGCCAGTCAACTTGCCAAGAATGTACTTTTACTTTGCTTCACAGGATTATTTTAAAGTCCCAATAACTTACTCTTTTAGTAATTCAGCAAAAATGCTTTTTAGTAGTTTCGTTTGATATATAAGGTATTTTGACTTTTTGATACAGGTATTAACCTTTATTTTCCCTACCGACAAGTTTCCACAAAGCTTTAAGTGTCCACAAAATGGCTTATGACCAAACAATAAGAAAAAAAGGATTCCTTTCATAGATGTCTAGAAAAATACTGGTAATTATCAATAAACTACGTAACAAACCAGATGATTATTATAAAACATATATGTGTATGCTTGGAGCCCACCATCTTCCCTACCTCACCACAATACCAGCAGTGCTAGAGATTAAGCCCAGAGCACGCATGGTAAGTTTGAACTCTATCTCTGAGCTATATCCTCAGTCCATCTTGGGAATCTAAGTAGAACAAACATATACTGCTACTAAAATAATGGGCACAGACATGGCAACACATATCTGCATATTATGAATGACATAATATTAAGTTAAATATTAAAGTGCTCTAAAATTAACTGTGCTGACAGTTGCATACATACATGTGAAGATGCTAAAAAAAAAATTGACTTAAACAGATGTACGGAACTATAAGGTTTGTGAATTCTTTCTCAATAAATAAGAACAAAATCCATCCTATTAATTGTTCCCTGTCAATCAAGAGGTAGCAGAGGACAAGAAAAAGTCCCAAGATGTCTGGGCCATACACAGAAATATAAAAACATGGGTAAAATTAACTGCCAGGGAGTCAACTTGGACAGGTTTTAACCCAGGATTACAAAAAGTCCCCCACTGCTGTCTAATGGAATGCCAAAGTCTTAACATGTTTTACTCTGATCTGGTAGCTGAAGAGCTGACATGCTGTTAGCTCCACTCAGGGCCACCATCAGGTGGTCCATATGGTGAACTGAAAATGCACCTTTATCATCACGTCTTGGGTCTATCACCTCAGGCAAGTTACTTAACCTTTCTGTCTCATTTTTCTCAGTATAACTGGGGATGGGGGTCAGGAAGAAAAACTCTGGGAAAATGAGGGAAGAGATGACACTATTCAAAAAGAAATGCATTCATTACCTGACATATAACTGTAACCTCTCTATACATCACTTTTATAATAAAAATTTCAAAAAATAAATGAGCATAATTACAGTCCCATTATAACAGTGAGAATTATTAACATATGGTACATAACAAATATTACCTCCTATTACTGTGTTTTATTTTTATATCTGAGTAAATAACTTTCAAAAAGTCAATGTCTTTTTTTTTTGGGGGTCCGGTCGTGGGGCCTGAACTCTGGGCCTGGGCGCTGTCCCGCAGCTCTTCAGCTCAAGGTTAGCATTCTACCACTTGAGCCACAGCGCCACTTCTGGCTTTTTTCTTTTGCTTATGTGGTGCTGAGGAATTGAACCCAGGGCCTCATGCATGCAAGGCAAGAGCTCTACCACTGAGCCACCTTCCCAGCCCAGTCAATGTCTTATGTTTAAAATTAATGTATATCCTGCCTAAGATCCAGTATTAAAATGCATGATACTATGAAGGCATTTGTATAAGGTAAAGTGATTTCCATGTCTTGAGTCTAAATATTTGCCTGCTGGTCTTTCTTTGAACTCCTTAAGGACAAAACTTTAGGTTTTGCTCATGTTTGTATTTTTCTTTCTTTTAAGTGCCAGTCCTGTGGCTTGAACTCAGAGCTTGGGCCCTGTTCCTAAGCTCCTTTTTTGCTGAAAGCTAGCACTCACTCTATCACTTGAGCCACAGCACCACTTCCAGCTTTTCTGGTAGTTTATTGATGACAAGAGTCTCACAAACTTTGCTGCCAAGGCTGGCTTTGAACCGTGATCCTCAAATCTCAGCCTCTTAAGTAAATACCATTACAGGCACGAGCCAACAATGGCCTGGCTGTATTGCTCTTGATACTTAAAAGAGTACTTCATTCTCATTAGGTATTCAGTAAAATCTATAGAGCTAATAAATTAGTGAATAGACAAAAAAAATACATCTTTACTAGCAACCAGATTACTATTGATAAGAGACAAACTACTACACAAATATAAGCAAATAAAGTATGATAAACAGCTTTGTAACACATAAAACTTTAACAATATGATCTGAATCAGGCTTAATGTTATAGGCAAACTATCATGGGTGGACACACACTGTAATTTGCCTTTAAGCTTTGTGAGCAAGTTATGCAGTAAATATAAGAGAATGAACACATATGTTTCCCTGAAACTCACCTGAAGTGCAGAAAGAGCCACAGCACCACAGAGACATATAAGTGGATAGACAGGGAAAAGAAATCGCTCCTCTTTGTGAGGCTGGATGAAGAAAATTATAAACCAAATATACATTGGAGCCAAGGTAAGCCAATATGGATGGCCTAAATTCTGCACTGCAAGACACAGAAAAATATCCACCTTTCATCACATTAGAATAAAACAGCATACTTAATTTCAATGTTCTTTCTCTCTCTCCACGCCCATCCCCCTCCCCACCTGGGGCTGGCTTGAACTAAGCACCTGGGCATTGTTCCTGAGCTTCTTATGCTCAAGGCTAGCACTCTACCACTTGAGCCACAGTGTCACTTCAGGCCTTTTCTGTTTATGTGGTACTGGGGAATCAAACCCAGGGCTTCATGCATATTAGGCAAGCACTCTACCACTAAGCCACATTCCTAGCCCTCAATGTTCTCTTTTATTTTTTTTAACATTTATTATTATCTTTAAGTAGTTGTACAAAGAAGTTCCCATTCTACAAAATACAAGGTGTCCAACCTCAATGTTCTCTTGATCTTAAACTTGGGAGACCACTATAGCGTATCCCATATCATGTTTCAAGTTGTGTTCACACTTTCTCCAATGTAATCAAGACAAGAAATAGTGTACTCTCTAGACAATCCAAGAGATCCAAAATTTAAAGGGAGGCACAATACTGGATTTGGCCAGACATATATGAAAGCCATAAAATAGAACTTAGTAAATATACTACGTTTGATTAAAAAAAAGGAAAGGCCTTCTCTTCCTACAGTCCTTCCATGAGATTAAAGATTCCTGAGGGTAACCAAAAACATAACATAAACCCATTCCCTGGGTCTTAATTCCTGTGTTCTGTTTAAGCATTAATCCTTTTATCTGTATACCAATTAAGACATAGATCAAAAGAAGAAAAAGTTGGATTCTCAAACACTTTTCATCAAGCTACAAATCAATTTGTTTTAGTTTAAGAATATTTTGGTGCCGGGCGCTGGTGGCTCACGCCTGTAATCCTAGCTACTCAGGAGGCTGAGATCTGAAGATCGCAGTTCAAAGCCAGCCCGGGCAGGAGAGACTGTGAGACTCCTATCTCCAATAAACCACCAGAAAACCAGAAGTGGCGATGTAGCTCAAGTGGTAGAGCGCTCGCCTTGAGCTGAAGAGCTGAGGGACAGCGCCCAGGCCCAGAGTTCAAGCCCCACAACCGAAAAAAAAAAAAAAAAGAATATTTTGGTTGGGGTGGGATATTTTGTTAAGTTTTGCTTTTTTTCTTTTTCTTTTTTTTGTTGGTCCTGGGGCTTGAACTCTGGGCTTGGGCGCTGTCCTTGCGCTCTTCAGCTCAAGGCGAGCACTCTACTATACTTGAGCCACAGTACCACTTCTGGTTTTCTAGTGGTTTATTGGAGATAAGTCTCATGGATTTTCTTGTCTGGACTGGTTTTGAACTGTGATTCTCAGATCTCAGCCTCCTGAGTAGCTAGGATTGCAGGCATGAGCCACCAGCACCCCGCTAAGTTTTGCTTTTTGAGATAGGGTTTCATTATGTCATATCTAGCCTGGAGCTCATGATCCTCCTATCTCACTCTCCTGGGTGCTGAGGTTACAGGTATGTTTCCCCAAGCCTGGTAGCCATTTGTTTCAAGTTAAATATAAGAACATTTCAAAGAAGTAGGCTTATAAAGTTTTCTAATTAAGTTTTCTCTTCTTAATACCTATCCATTCTGAATCTCAAAACAAAATGTGCTTAAAGCATAGAAAAGAATGAAAAGAATAACAATGAAATCCAAGCACTGCTGGAAAGTTCCTGTGGTTAGGTACAGGAGCACTGAGTGATAACTACAACCCACAGTGAAGGCATCTCCTACTGTGCTTACATTAGTGAAAACAAAAGTGTATGAAAAATGCTGTCTAAAGGTGGAAGCACAGTGCCCCCTAGAGTCCCCCATGTCTACAGTATGCAGGGTTAAATTGTGGTTCAGCACTATCAAGAAAAAGTAACCCTTAAGGAATACAAAGGAGGAGAAGCAGGTGCCAGTCCCACTAGTCTGTGTCTTGCTTCAACAGTGTTTGTTTTCCATCACCAACTGCCTCTGAATCTCCTCTCCACTGACCCTTATCTTCTTGCCAGTCTCCAACCAACTCCACCTTTTTTTGTGATTAGCTCTGGATCGATGGCTAGCCATGACCTTGCAGATTCATCAGAATTATTCCACTGCGGTGGAGGCTGCCGTCCGCTGCTGGTCAATTTGCATTTGCAGGCCTCCTACACGTAATTCTCTCTGGGCTACTATTTCAATCGCCACGATGTTGGCTCTGGACGGCGTGGGACACTTCTTCTGCAAGTTGGCAGAGAAGTGAGAGGGCACCCACTGTCCCCTGAAGATGCAGACCAACATGGTGGCCATGCGCTGCTCCAGGATGTACAGAAGCCTTCTCAAGATTGAGTAGGGTAAAGCTGTGGAAGTCATGGAAGCTGCCCTGGCCCTGGAGAACCTGAACAAAGCCATTCTGGATCTTCATGTCTTGGGTTCTGCTGGCACAGACCCCCATCTCTGTGACTTCCTGGAGAACTACTTCCTAGATGAATAGGTGAAGCTCATCAAGAAGATGAGCGGTCATCTAACCAACCTCTACAGGCTGGCAGCCCCTCGGGCTAGACTAGGAGAGTATCTCTTCAAACATCTCACCCTCAAGGACTAGAAGACCCCAGAGTCAAGCAGCCTTTGAGGGCCATCACTGCCTCACTTGACATTAGTGTTTCCATGAAAGTCTCTCCTTCTAGCCACTGGGCTTCCTAACTAACCATCCTGAAGTCTTTCCCAAGCCTTGGACCAAATGAAAACAAAGCTTTTTGCAGGAAAAAGACAGAGGTGTGGGTGAGGGGGGGAGAGAGAGAGAGAAAAAGAAAGAAAGAAAGAGAGAGAGAAAGAAAGAAAGAAAAAAGAAAGAAAGAAAAAGAAAGAGAAAGAGAGAGAGTGAGAGAGAGAAAGGAGAGAGAAAGAAAGAATGAGAGAGAGGAGAGGGGGGAAGGAAGGAAGGAAGGAAGCAAGCAAGCAAGCAAGCAAGAGGTTAGCCAGATACAGAGGCTCACATTTGCAAGCCTAGCTAACCAAGAAAAAGAGATGAGAAGGATTGCAATTTGAGGCCACACTGGGCAAGGTTTGTGAGACCCTCACCTCAACCAAATAAAGCTGGATAAGATGGTTCACACCTGTCATCCTATGTGGGGAGGGTACATAGGAGGACTGAGGGCTAGGCCAGCCTGGTCATAAATGTGACACCCAATTTGCAAAATAAATAAGGCAAAAAGACCCAGAGGTAGAGTAACTGCTTAGCAAAGGCAAGGCCCAAAGTCCAAAATACAGCACTTAAGAAAAAACAAACAAACAAACAAAAAACAGGAAAGAAGGGAAAGGAAAGGAGAGGAGAGGAGAATACAAGGGATAGAGGAATTAGTTGCCTCAAGAGAGAAAATAGCTGAATCTAAAATTCAGGACACTAGGTAAGATGAATATCTGGCTTAAAAATCTTTAGAAGAAAAATAAAACAAGAGGCATCATACAAAGCTTTAAAAAATGTAGTATCAGAAGGGTGACAGTGGCTCATACCTGTAATCCTAGGTACTCAGGAGGCTGAGAGAGAATCACAGTTCAAAGCCAGCCTGGGCAGAAATCCCCATGAGACTCTTTTACCTCCAATAAACTACTTAAAAAAAAAAAAAGCTGCAAGTGGTGCTGTGGCTCAAGTGGTAGAGCACTAGCCTTAAGCACAAAGAGGCTCAGGGACAGCATCCAGGCTGAGTTCAAGTCCCAAGAGGGGCAAAAAAAAAAGTAACATCAAATTCTATATGACCTGTGATTATGTCTCCTGCTTTTCCACACAATATAGAAAATCTGATTTTCGACAGGTATTAGATTATTTTAAAGGGTTAATTTTGTTAGAACAATGGAAATATGCTTATGTTAAAACAAGAGTCCTAAAAAAAAATTAAGATTTTAACATTTAACAAAGAAAACTCCCCTATGAACAATAAAAGCAGAACTGAGGGTGGGCTGGACAGGAATCAATCATATGGCATCCAAATCAGATTGACAAGTCTGAAGTTAAATCTTTCCAAAGCCCATATGAATTCTGCTCAAATCTGTCTTCCATTCAAGAAACAGTAGGCACCAGAGCCACGACAACTTGAGAAAACACCAGCTGTGCAGTACAGAACCAGAGCAAGTAAAACAAATGACACACCAAACCTTCCACAGGAAACCAAACAAATGGCACCCGGAGAAGACTCGTGTTTCTTAGGAAATTCAGAGCTTCTCCCTATTTCACTATCCATTTCAAGGAATTCCTATGTGTTTGTTTTCAAATTCTTAGTTGGAATAATTTCTTAAAGCATGTTTGCTTCTAGCATGGATTATCATACTTCTTTACAAGACTGAAGACTTGTACAGGCTTGTCATTTTAAGATTTTATAAATATGTTTGCTTTCCTGGATGATTGGGTAAATTATAATAACTTCCTCTCTTGAAGAAATATAAAACTAACCAATTTTTCAGATAAGTCCAAATAACCTATAAATACAGACTGAAAAAGTCAGCAGAGCCAACCATTTCTATAGAAAGAAAATGGAGAATAACTCTTGTTCATGTACTGGCATTTCTTACTAGTTGGCTTTTTCCTCCCCAAACACCATCTTTTGAGTTACTCACCATGAAACCTCTGCAGCAGGTATTCCATAAGAGAAGTCAGTGGTAAGACCAGAAGAGCCAAAGCAAAGGCTACATTGAAATTCAGAAATCCATTAATCAAATAAAAGTACCAGGGTTCTGTACCTAAAGAAAAAAAAAAGGTAAGGAGCCATTAATGGTGTCTTCAATACCCACAGTATTGACTCTTCATGATCCCTGTTCAATTAACATGAAGGATCCAGCACCCCAAGTAAAGAATGAGAGACGTGGCTACCCCTTTTCACTCTCAGCCACACACAGGAAGCATAAGAGCAGAAGATGGGAAGAAAGAAGTTTGGTCAAGATGCTTTATATAGAAATCAAGTTTTAAATGTTCAGCTATATTTCCTATCTGTAGAAAATATACTCTATCTTCTGCTCTTCTACTACAAAGGCATAGAGCTCCTCTTTTCCAAAGGATAAAGCAACAAGGGACCATTTAGAAGCAGAGACACAGCCCTAAATAGACACCAAATTAGCAAAAGGCTTGATTTTATACTTGTCTCCAGAACCATGAAAAATGCATTTGCTCTTTATAAATCACCCAGACTCAGGCATTTTGTTATGAGAGACAAATACACTAAGACAAAAATTTCACCCTACCTAGCCTGAAGTACCATACCTAAACAGGAATAATACTTTCTGAAACCACCAAACAATTTAAATAGCTTAAGAACACAGGATCACATAGAGCTAAAAACAAAAACAAGCAACAACAACTACAACAAATTGCCATTTGAATGTAATTACTCTCTCAGCATTCTGCAGACCAAGAGAAACTAATAAATGAAACTTGGTTGGAGCTACTCAGTCTCTTCCACTTTGTTCTCATCTGCTTGTAGGGATTACTTACTTTCTAGCATCACAAAAAGCAACAACTCATGTTTTTATGGTTCATGTTCAGAGACCCAAGCCCTGCTCAGAGGCCTGAAGGACTCAGAATGAAGCAATCTGACAGAAAACACAAGCTTCATACACATTTTTACCCTTTAATTCACACTCCTTAAGTCAGAATATTGAGCCAGCTTGCAGGTTCTTCCATCAGGTGTGAACGACATGCGAGGGTTTAATCACTGTCTGACACCCTCCTTGCACCACAGCAATTTTCTGTGATTCACATCGCTGAAAGGGCAATCAGAAGCCAGATGCTGGTGGCTCACGCCTGTAATCCTAGCTACTCAGGAGGCTGACATCGGAGGACTTCAGTTCAAAGCCAGCCCGGGCAAGTAAGTCTGTGAGACTCTTATCTCCAATAAACCACCACAAAACTGAAAGTGCTGCTGTGGCTTAAGTGGTGGAGTGCTAGCTAGCCTTGTGCTGAAGAGCTGAGGGACAGTACCCAGGCCCAGAGTTCAAGCCCCACAACCTACAAAAATAAAGGGCAATCAGGAGATAGAGGAGTCTTCAGGAAAACAACAACAACAACAACAAAAACCCTGGCATTTCTGCAGCTTGCGAAACAAAAGAAGATTAGGAACCAAAGTCCTAATTCAAGAAATACTTAGAGGAGGAGTAAAAGGGAAGGGAGTACCTTAAGTAGGCAGGGTACATGATAAATACAATGACTGAGGTTGTTAGGAGCAGAGGCACTGTCCAAGGATATATTTATTAGAGACTTTTTTTTTTTGGTCAGTCGTGGGAGTTGAACTCTGAGCCTGGGGGCTGTCCCTCAGCTCTTCAGCTCAAGGCTAGCGCTCTACCACTTGAGCCACAAGCGCCACTTCTGGTTTTCTAGTGGTTTACTGGAGATAAGTGCCTCACAGCCTTTCCTGCCCCGGCTGGCTTTGAACCATGATCCTCAGATCTCAGCCTCCTAAGTAGCTAAGATTACAGGCATGAGCCACCACACCTGGCATTATTAGAGACATTTTTAATCTTTCATTCTATTTAACTGTTTAGTTTACATAAAAAGATGGGTTTAGTTACAAAACAGAGGTATTCGTCTGCTATGAATATTAACATTTAACAACATATTGCATAAACTGAGCTTTCTAGTTAGAATCAAGCTTCTGGAAAGGTAAGCATTCCATCACCCTCTCCTGACCCACTATGTGGATGGATGAAATGCTATCAACCTCTGACAGGCCTTTTTTCTTAACAGAATTCTAGAAATCTGAGCCTGTAAAAAAAAAAAAAAAAAGAATGAATAAGCAGAGAGAAGGGGAGCATCCTTTGTATCATGCATCACAGATGCACAGCCTCCACAGAAAAGTCTTTTTCTCTGATATTTGCAAATACAGATTGCTTTTTCAGAGAAGCTCCTTAGTTTCTAGCTAGTACTTGTCGCCACCACAACTTGCTGTATGATGTGTTTTCATCTAGATATTATATACTCTGGGATATAGAACCAAAAGAATTAAGTTGGTAAACTCAATCATTTTTATGTATTGGGGGGGCCGAAATCAAGTTGCCAACAAGGCTGTAAACATTTCGTAACAGACTACTCTTTCCCTGGAGAATGGAGCAAAAAACCTGAGAATAAGCCAAGAGTGAAGAAAGTTCAAGTGGCCAGTCTTAAAAATAAGGGCAAAGAGGACACTTCTGTTGACTAGTGTTCTCTACTTGGTAAGACACTGCCTTAGGGGGGCAAATGGAACATAAACTTTTATCTCTATCCAGGGAGTTGCTCAATGCTGATGCTCACAAAGCATCAAAGCTGAACATTGTAGAAAAAGCACATCTGAATGGCAAGCTAAGCACTGAACTGTGCAAAAGGTAAGGTGAGAGAGCAAGCTGGCAGCAGAATCTGCAGGGGAGTGACTCACCCATCTCCCTCTTTATGGAAAGTACCTCAGTTCCTTTTACTCAGATGAGCTATGGGGGGCTTTTAAAAAAAGCTAAAAAGAGAAGGAATAATGTTGATTGTCCCACAGACTGAACGAAGGGGAACCTTTTCACAGAGCTGTAATTTTATAAAGCTGCAGGAACTAAATTATAATAAATCATCCTTATAAATGTCACATTTGAACCACCAAGAGGGAAAAGCCAGCAAGGTTCCACAGAAATGATTAACAAAGGAGAAGAGGCTCTAGAATAGTTCTGCCTCATGTTGAGTCAACTCTAAGCAGGCCTCAGGACACCTCCTGGGCCTTCCCCCTCCACTCCACTGGGGCAAAAGGAGGTAACAGCTAGCCTTCTAACAAGGCAATTCACCTTCACCTTCTGAAACTTCCTGTCTCATGACCTGAAAGACGTTGATAAAACACTGGCACCAAGCTAAGCTTCAGAGTGGTATCCCTGAGTAAACCTTCTGTCTTACCTCAGGGATTTTCCCATAAGGGCCCTATAAAACCTTTGCCAAGGCATGTACCACCAGACAAAAATACTCATGGACATCAATATCTGAGTCCTTGAAATGTTACCAGAGGCAAAAATCAATCACTTCCCTCTCTACTGTGCTAACTTTTACCTGCTAATCTTTGACCTTAAAGAGATATTTGTTCATGACTTTGCAATTTTAGTCTACACTACTCTAACTCTCTAAATGTCCTAAATGCTAAGTATTATTTACTTAGTCCACTCTTCCTTTGAACACTCCCATGTGAAATGCCTGCCAGTATGCATGTCGCTCTGCTATCCCAGCCCTCCACAGGCTCCCCGTGCCTGATCACCCTTTAAGTCAATGCACAGAACTACAAAAGTTAACTTCATCCACTCCTTGGGTCAAATCTGAACCTCTGCTACTCTCAACACATGCTCCCTGTTTTTGCAAGCTTATTTTCCTGTCCTGTCACAGTGGCCAAATTGTTGGTTGTGTTGGTTTACTAAGGGTGCTTTCAGTAGAAAAGCTGCAGGCGTGGGAGTGAGACAGCTCTGGGCTTTCTTCCCGTCCCTGTAATTATTTTTTTAAGTATTTTTTAATTTTTACCTTGGATGGTGGGTTCCTCACTATCAGCTCAGCTTTCTCACAGGGCAAGAAGGATAAATAATGCCTATCTCACAGAATTTGGGGGAGGGAAAGTAGACAGTACATAAAATTTCTGGCACAAAATACACAATAAACAGAAAGTTGTAACTAATATCTGTGAAGAGGCACTCCTTTTCCTTTACTTCAAAAGAAAGAAGTCAGCTCACGTGGGGAATATCATTAAGATATGCTAGTGATAAGTGAGGTACCAGTGGCTCACACCTGGAATCCTAGCTACTCAAGAGGTTGAGATCTAAGGCTCAAGGCAAGGAAGTCTGTGAGGCTTTTATCTCCAATTTACTATCAAAAAAGCCAAAAGTGAAGCTGTGGCTCAACTGGTAGAGTGCTCGCCTTGAGCAAGAGAAGCTCAGGAATAATAACCAGGGACTGAGTTCAGCCCCAGGACAGGCGTGTGCACACGTACATGCACGCACACACACAAATGGTATGTTATCTAGTCCCCAAAATGTAGACAAACTGATTCAACTAGGAATAATGGAGAAAATAAGTATTTATAAAACAATCGTAATGGAGAGACTGAAGACATGTTCATAATACTAGAATAGTTTCCACCAAAAATTCAATCAAACCTGTAAAAGTAATGTTTAAGAGAATAATCCACTACTTGATCTTTGTTCTTCAGCAGTCTTTACACATGATAATCCGTCTGAAGTGTACCCCATTCCAGCACTTTCTAGGCAAATACCTACTCCTCCTCCTGGGCACAGACCTCACACCTTTCCTAATACCAGCAGAAGGATTTGCTCCCTACCATCCTGAAGCACCTAATATACTGTTCCATTAATTATTGTGTTTCTGCAGCTTTCTAAAGGCCTGAAGCAAGTGCTCAAAGGCAATTTATTCAATTATTCTTTAAAAAAAGGTGTTTTTGTCAGTTGTGGGGCTTGAACTCTGGGCCTGGGTACTGTCCCGCAGCTCTTCAGCTCAAGGCCAAGCACTACCATTTAAGCCACAGCTCTAGTTCCAGTTTTCTGGTGGTTTATTGGAGATAAGGGTCTCATGGACTTTCCTGCCCAGGCTGGCTTTGAACCACAATCCTCAGATCTCAGCCTCCTGAGTAGCTAGGATTACAGGCATGAGCCTCCAGCATCCAGCTTCAGTGATTCTTTAACTGAAGTCTATCTATATGTGCAGAAAGTAGGCTTGTACTTGTACAAAAGAAATGGCACCAAAAGATGTATACAGAAACGGTCAGTACAAGACATTTTTAATGTCCAGATAAAGTGTGTATCTAACATATTTAATGGGGCATCTAGACCAAGAAACTCATAAAATAGCCAGTATAATGTAAGCTAGTATCAAACATTTAAGCAGCAGGAAGAGCTGAGTTTCTAAGACAGAAGACACACTGTCTCATTATTTGACAACCGTATAGGATAAAAGACTCGTGCCATTTACCAAATGGAAGCAATGTTCACAAAATATTTACATCTGTTCATCTTAATTGGTATCAAGAAATGTCCAAGCCAGCACCACAATATGTCTAACCAAGGTGGTTCTGGGACACAACTGCAATTAAGGCACTCAAGAATTCACTCATCCATTTATTCATTTGTTCATTCATACATTGTCAACAATTTTTTTTACTGTAAACCTAGAATATATAGGGGATTCTACTTCTAAGATGAAAACAATATTCTCCAAGTAAGCTACACACAAAAAAAAAAGTTAATACTCTTTCCACAAATGAAAATCAGAAGAAAAAGAAACTGTCAGATTCAAAGATAAGGTAAAAACACAAAATGACTACTAGCAAGGAGCAGCTCCCTAAAGGCAGCTGACTACAGCATTCTAGCTGTAGTCCTGATTGTGGCCCATGTAACAATCCCCACTGTCCCAACAAACTTATTTTTTATCTAAAATAGCAGGTCATCAAAGTAGGAAAGAAAAAGTCCCAAAGACTCTTTTTCAGTAAAACATGGCTGAATGGAATAGCAAATGCCACCGTCCATGGAAAGACCATAGACTGTGCTAAGGCCTAACCAACCACCATTATACTAAAAACACAAACTCACACCAAAATTGATTCTCCTTCCCTACTGTCTCCATCTATCTGATCACTACGTAGATTAAAAAGCCTCACCAACCTAAAGAGGCCAGAGAAAATACAGCCCTGTTATAAACCCTCACAAAAGGTTTTTATAAACAAGCAATCAAAATATCAACATCAGCTAGGCGTCGGTGGCTCATGTAATCCTAGTTACTCACAAGGCTGAGATCTAAGGATCAAAGTTCAAAACCAGTCCACAAAAATGAAATAAAGTTTTTTTTTTCTTAAAAAAAAAAGCCAGTCAAGGCAGGAAAAGTCTATCTCTGTAAGGTCCGCCCCTGGATGGCAAGCAGACTCCACCCTCCTCGCAGCAAAGTCTCCACCCAGTACCTGCGTTACCTAGGCAACTGGGACACCTGGAAGAGGTCACATCTGCATCCGCTGAGGTCACATCTGAATTTGATGTGGCCACACCTTTCCCCGCCCATACCCTACAAAAGGCCTAGCCCAGGCCCAGACGCTCTCTTGCTCTTGCTCTTCTTTTCTAGCTCTCTCTGCTCTCTCTCCTCTCTTTCCCAGCCACGTGGAGTGCAAACCTTGCCTGGTCCCAGCAGGTCTACTGAATAAACCTACCCTTACCTGAATACCACGTGCGTGCTGGTGCTGTTCTTACTCGGCTACCTCTTTTTAAAAAACCTAACAATCTCCAGTTAACCACCAAAAATCTAGAAGTGGCATTGTGGCTCAAAGTGGTAGAGTGCTAGCCTTGAGCAAAAACGCTAAGGGACAGCACCCAGGCCCTCAGTTCAAGCCCTACAACAACAACAACAACAACAATCAACATCTAATAAATTATTTATGAAAATGGAGAAGCCAATTTTTCAGGATTAACACAAACTCAATCTATTCCTCCATATAGAATGGGATACATCTAAATCAGTATTTACCACACAACCCATATTTTATTGGTTTTATTGTCTCCAGAAGTCAAATAAAATTTTACAAGTAAACCAAAAACAATGGGCAATTTAAATTTGCCAACTTTTCCTGGCTGAAGAGAGACATCTAGAGGCAAAAGCTTAGAACTGGAGGCTTTTCATCTATCCTTGGGAATCTAGGAAATAAAAAGGAGTCTTTTAAAGTTCTTTCATTTAACAACTGCTCTTCAACTATGTGGTTTATGAATTCAATTCGCTGAATACAACACTATTTTAGCCTGTTACTTGCCACCTAAGATGATAATATTCTCTAAATCTCAGGAAGCTCAAGTATCTCATTCAGGTTCTTGCTTTCAAGCTCCTCAGGCAAACTATTGAATCTACTAGCAATGTGGCCAAGGCACATGGAAAGGGCTGGCAACATCACAAATTTATAGGAAGGAAGAGAGAGAATATCGATTGCTTTGTAGCAGAATCAGGACATTCATATATATAGAAAAGTCTAAGGATCCCCAAAAGATTAAAACAGAAGAAGCTATATTTATTTGATTTATTTATTATTATAGGTTCTGGGGCTTGATCTCAGGGCCTTGGCACTTCCCTGAGCCTTTTTGTGCTCAAGGCTACCACTCTATGACTTTGAACCACACCACCACTTCCAGTTTTCTGGTGATTAACTGGAGATAAGAGTCTCATAGACCTTCCTGCCCAGGCTGGCTTTGAATCATGATTCTCAGATCTCAGCTTCCTCAGTAGCTACAATTTATTATAGGTGTGAACCACTGGCACCTAGCTATTTAATGTTAAAAAGTGTCTCCCTTGCAAAATATTTACTGATTTGGCTAATTTAATGGGAAGATATCTAGCTCATTCCCTATAACTGTTCATTCTAATGTCCTCAGAAGTCAAGTAAAACAAAAGGGACGCGGGAGAAAGGTGGTGATGGGGTACAGTATTCACCTCAAACTAAAGGCATTCAATTTTTCTCTTAACACTAAACTGACCAAGCCACCAACCCTCTTTCACTGACTCCATTCTCATTTGCTACACCTTGCAGATTTCCAAACTTTCTCCTCTAATCCACGATACTAAATATGCATGTTTAAAAGAAAAAAAGTGGCATCAAATGTGTATATGCATAGACATTATATGGAGGAGTATTCTCCCAAATATTAATTAGCTAAATAATATGATGGGGTTGGATTATTTTCTTTTTGTTACCTGGATTTTCCTTTTTTTTTTTTTGCTTTGTCAATCCTAGGGCTTGAACTCAGGGCCTAGGCTCTGTCCCTGAGCTTCTTTTGCTAAAGACTAGCACTCTACCCACTTGAGCCACAGCAACACTTCTGGCTTTTTCTGTTTATGTGGTACTGAGGAATGGAACCCAGGGCTTCATGCATGCCAGGCAAACACTCTACCACTAAGCCACATTCCCAGTCCTATTACTTGGATTTTCTAACAAGAGAAAAAAGTAACTTTTAGGAGGGAGGGGAGAAGCATCAAAAGCTGTGGTACACCCAACCATCCTCAAAATTCTAACTCTAAAACTAGAAATAATCAATAGGAGGATAGAGAGCCAGTATCTGAGTATCACATAATCAAAGGGAAGTAGTAGTAGCTACCTGTCATCACTGTGCTCCATTCAAATGTCATTCTATTTTTAAGTAAGAAGACTTCCAGCAAAGACAAACTGTATTTGATGAAATAAGACAGCTGAATTAAAGTGTTGAAGCCCTGATACATTAAGCTACTTTCTAACCCTTCCCCAGATTTTGTAAAAACTTACCATAAAGATCAGGTCCATGAGAAGTGAAGACATTATACAAAACAATGTTGAGAGGGGCAATCACCAACTTCCCATAATAGTAGCTGTCGATGACCACCACAGGCACCTAAAACAACAACACACACACAACAATTAGAGTTTTTTTCTGGGATTATTCTCAACATGTTAATAGATAAACTTGTGAATGTAAAACAAAATGAACTCTGAATGTTTTCTTTTCCCACATCAGAAGTTGCTTTCATCATAACATGAGAACAAAACAAAAAAGAAAACTCACCAGGAAGAGAATTAGGGCCACTAGTGACCAACGAAGGAAACTCTTCCACCTGTGTTTCATGACCAGCAAATCAAAGGCAATTGGCAAACTATTTAACAGAAAAAACGAAAGTAGGAGGTAAATAAAATATTTATAGATCAATCTCATTCACACGCACACACACTATGCTGAACTGAGAATAAAATATCTCTACCAGTGACAGAAAGGGAAGAAAGCTGGTATGTGAAAGTACATCTTCTCTTCATTGGACCCATTAGAGCTAATCATGCCACAGACACTCAGGAAACAAATAGTGAGCTACTGTGTAATGGACATTTCAAATATATCAGTTAAAAGAAACCAGAGATTCCCTTGAACATGGTGTACAAGATACTAGAGCAAAAAAGAAGGAAACAGATCTTTAGCCTGAGTAGCAGGAAAATGCACAGCACAAAGTAGAAAGTGAGAAAATCAGCTGTAGTCAAAAAGGCCTGGATACAAGAGATGCATAATCTCAACACAAATTACTCAAACCCTTTCTTAAAGCACTAATGACTGTAATTCTCAGAGTTTTCTATGATTAAAGAATATTTATAAATCTAATAGGTAGATATTTAATAGTTACCATTTAAATTAGGATTAATCATAACAACAAGTATTTTAATATGCTTTGCCAGGCACCAGTGGCTCATGCCACTAGATACTCAGGAGGCTGAGATTTGAGGACAAAGGTTCGAAACCAGCCCAAGCAGGAAAGCCATGAGACTTTTATCTCCAGTTAACTACCAAAAAAAAGTCAGAAGTGGTGCTGTGGCTCAAGAGGTAGAGTGTTAGCCTTGAGCACAAAAGCTCAGGGACAGTGCCCAGCCCTGAGTTTAAGCCCCAGGATTTGGTACAAAAAGAAAAGATGGGGGCTGGGAAGGTGGCTCAGTGGTAGAGTGTTGGCCTTGCATGCATGAGTCACTGGGTTCGATTCCTCAGCACCAATAAGCAGAAAAAGCTGGAAGTGGTGCTATGACTCATGTGGTAGAGTGCTAATCTTGAGCTGAGGGACAGCACCCAGGCCCAGAGTTCAAGCCCCACAACTGACCGCCCACCCCCCCAAAAAAAGAAAAGAAGGGAAAGGGAAAAGGAAAGGGAATGTGGCTTAGTGGTAGAATGCTTGCCTAGCATGCATGAAGCCCCGAGTTAGATTCCTCTGTACCACATAAACAGAAAAAAGCCAGAAGTGGTGCTGTGGCTCAAGTGATAGAAGTGCTAGTTTTGAACAAAAGAAGCTTAGGGACAGAGCCCAGGCCCTGAGTTCAAACCCCAGGACTGGCAAAAAGAGAAAGAAAAAGAAAAAGAAAGAAAGAAAAGGGGGGGAGGAAGGAAGGAAGGAAGAAAGGAGCTTTTAAAAAAATGAAGAAATATGCTTTTACTTCTCAGTATTTTTGTCAAACTAATTCATTTAACTTTAGGTGCTACCTACACAACTTGGAGCTAATCCAAAATTAGGATTTGCCATTAAGTCCAGTGATATATGGGACACTATAAGTTCTTACCCAAGTGCAGCACTGAATGGCCAGCCTACAATAGTCCCAGCTGCTACTCCCAGCACAGCAATGGGAGTCTTGTCCATGTACCATCCAGTCATGGCTATCAATGTAGTGTACATACAGAAGCTACTGGGAAGGAATGCTGCAAGAGGAAAGAAATGAAAGGAAGAAGGAATAAAAGTCTAAGATTCAATATCAATAATTACCAACCTACCTATATTTTGAAATGCCAATAACCAAGATTATACTCTGAGCAATGCTACTAGAAATAGTAAAGGAGTAATCTAAACAAAACAGGCATTGGTGGCTCACAAAGGTAATCCTAGCTACTCAGGAGGCTGAGATCTGAAAATTGCAGTGTGAAGCCAGTCCACACAGGCTCAAGGACAGCACTCAGGCCTTGAGTTCAAGCCCCGTAACCAACCAAACAAACAAACAAGCAAAAACAAAAAAACAAGTAAGTTAAACTATGTTACTTTATCACACCAACACATGGTTCACAGTTATACAGTATTACCCATACATGAGGTACAACTCTCACAGATCAATGCTAAATAATCTTGCTGCCATCAAAAGCTGATGATCCCAACAGCCAAGCCAAAAACATCAGAGGTCTCTGTCAGCTCTGCCAGTAAAGCAGAGTTGTTATCTCAAGTTTTTCTATGGTGGAACCTGTGGTCTCTGCTCTCTCTCTCTCTCTCTCCTCTCTCTCTCTCTCTCTCTCTCTCTCTCTCTCTCCTTACTAGGATTACAGATGTGAGCTGTGGTCTCTGTACACACACACACACACACACACACACACACTCTCTCTCTCTCTCTCTCTCTCTCTCTCCTCAGATCTCAGTCTCCTTACTAGGATTACAGATGTGAGCCACCAGCACCCTGCTTAAAGTAGAAATCTTTGACATGTTAAATATAAACTATGTTTGGACAAATACTTCCTTCAAGGCATTGGTGAGCCACGGTGAACCCTCTCGCCTCCCTTTCACCTACCAGACGATGAACAAAACATGCCAGTGCTGAGCACCAAGAAGGCCAGCATCATTCGACTCACATGCAGCCCAAACTTCTTGCACACAGCCCTAGAAGAAAGGCAAAAACTAATTTTTCATAGCAGATTTTGGACATTTCAAATCAAATCAGTTTTTAGCACATTGATAGTAAACGTAAGTATATATTCTCTCCTTGTAGATAGGGAACTTCTTTCCTGTGTCTCAGTTTTGTTTTTTTTTTGTCAGTCGTGGAGCTTGAACTCTGGGCCTGAGTGCTGTCCCTCAGCTCTTCAGCTCACGGTGAGCACTCTACAACTTGAGCTACAACGCCACTTCCAGTTTTCTGGTGCTTTTATTGGAGATAGGAGTCTCACGGTCTTTCCTGCCTGGGCTGGCTTTGAACCGCGATCCTCAGATCTCAGCCTCCTGAGTAGCTAGGATTACAGGCGTGAGCCACCAGTGCCCGGCTGTGTCTCAGTTTTTTGTTTTTTTTTTGTCGGTCGTGGGGCTTGAACTCTGGGCCTGGGTGCTGTCCCTCAGCTCTTCAGCTCACGGCGAGCACTCTACAACTTGAGCTACAGTGCCACTTCCGGTTTTCTGGTGGTTTATTGGAGATAGGAGTCTCACAGTCTTTCCTGCCCAGGCTGGCTTTGAACTGCAATCCTCAGATCTCAGCCTCCTGAGTAGCTAGGATTACAGGCGTGAGCCACCAGTGCCCGGCTGTGTCTCAGTTTTTAATACACATGAAATCGCTAACAAACCTGTCAAAATAGTTCTGTATTTGACTTTCAGATCTTCGGTGATACTTCTGATGCAAGCATGTTTTTAATTTGAAATGTCTGTGTAGCAAGGATTACACTGGTGCCTGGCTCTTAACCTCTTTATACTATATTCTTAGTAATTTCTTCAAATCAATCTTCCATTTTACTTATGTACTTGTTAGTAGTATCTAGTCTGTTTAACTTATCTGGCTAAAGAATTTAAAATGTCAATATTAAGTACATATTACATATTTTGTACTCAATAATATATTTTCATTTCTAGAAGTTCTGATTTTTTAAATTTGCATAATTTTGTAGTCTGTTTCTTGTTCACATTTTCAGTTCCCTCTTTCTCTTCTTTAAAACACTGAATGTACTTACCATATATTCTTACTTTAACAACACTTGATAAATGATTAACTTTCTATTGATTTTTATTTCTGGCTTTCCTGATCCTTTCTTGTGACTTCCCTGTTTTATGATTTATTTCTACCATAATTTCTTCTTACAACTTTATTTCTCATAGCTTTTTGACTTCTGGGATAAAAGTCTAGTTCATTAAAGAAATTTTCACAAGATGTCCAGATCAATTTGGAGTAAATCTTCAACTTGGGGCATAATGGAAAAGGAGATGATTGGAATTCAAGTCCAAATCCCTAAAAAGACCAACTCTCATTGTAATCCTCAAAGGCAATAGTGGCTTTGTTTTTTCACCCATGCCAAACACCTTTTTTTTATCTGATATAATGAGTTGGGGGGAAAATCTTTAATAATGACCATTAAGCCCAAGCACTTTTTAATGAATTGAGGTGCTATTAAAATAAAGTGTTAAAAAGGGTGGCTATAGCCGGGTGCTGGTGGCTCACACCTGTAATCCTAGCTACTCAGGAGGCTGAGATCTGAGGATCGTGGTTCAAAGCCAGCCCAGGCATTAAAGACCGTAAGACTCCTATCTCCAATAAACCACCAGAAAACCCGAAGTGGCGCTGTAGCTCAAGTGGTAGAGCGCTCGCCTTGAGCTGAAGAGCTGAGGGACAGCGCCCAGGCCCAGAGTTCAATCCCCACGACCGACAAAAAAAAAAAAAAAGGTGGCTATTTTTACTACTGAAACACTTAAATAAATAATAGTTCCATCAATATTCAATCAACTGATAGCTATGTTGTGTAAAAAGTACTGGGTACAAATCAGAGCAGGCTTTCACATTACAAATAGTTGTCCATCAGCCAGGCTCAAGGAGAAAGGTAAGTCATTACCCTGCATTTTCGGACCAAATTTGGTCCTACTAAATCCCAGTAAGACTAACTACATATGTATTCACAGAACTAAAATTAATGGCATGGTATTTAGTGGCACAGTATTAATGATAAAATCAGAAGTATTTTTCCTTGTTTTTTCAACAAGACATCATATTTCAGGAGCTAGAAGTGTTTTCTATTTTGGATCACTACTTAGACTATCAGAGGGCTGATATATTAGGCTATCTCCTAGAACTTTTAGAAGCAAAGCTTTTTTACTCACTTGTAAAAGTAAAGCTCACAAATACAGCTCACAAAAGCCAGAAGACATCGCAAAAAGTAAAACACAAGAATCTGAAAAAAACCCAGAACAAGAGAACAGAAGTCACAGAGAGAAACCAAAACATTTTTCTTTTTTTTGGCTGTGGGGCTTGAACGCTGGACTTGTGTGCTGTCCCTGCACTCTTCAGCCCAAGGCGAGTGCTCTACTGCTTGAGCCACAGGGCCACTTCTGGTTTTCTAGTGGTTTACTGGAGATAAGAGTCTCACAGACTTTCCTGCCTGAGCTGGCTTTGAACCTCCTGAGTAGCTAGGATTACAGGCATGAGCCACTGGTGCCCGGCGTCCACACACATTTTTCATGTCACTAGACTCCATACCTGCACCAGCATCACTCTAGCAGTGATAAGGAACTTCCTTCCCTATGTTGAAAATGTCAATCGCAGCACTAATATTTTAGTTAAAACTACAAAATACCCAATTACAGGAGTAGGATTAAGTTATACTACATTTCACAGGCTATTACACAGGCATTAAAATTTATTGTTATGAATATAGTAGGAAACTTCTTTCAATATAATGCTCATTCATTCACCAACCACTTAAGAATAAATAGTCGCAATGTTTTAAGTACCAATTATTTACAGAACACTAAGCAAAATGCATCATACAGGATTAAGATAAAACGAGGTCCTTATGAAATCTCTGTATGTATGACAAAACTGGAAAGAACAGAGTAGAATGGTATTATAGCAGCCTATTTCAAATTTACATAATTTTCCTCCAATCTTCCAAACTACTGTAATGTGATTTTTATTTATTTTCTAATTAAAAGTATCAGATTAAAAATAACACAATATGGGTATATCAAATTGTTCTTGTTATAAAATGTTTAGAAGCACTGAGGGCTGGATGGTAGAGTACCTGTCTAGCAGGCACTAAGCCAAATGTTCAACCCCAATATTGTCTCCATCCCACAAATAGGGGTATGGAATTCCTCAGAAAACATGCCCTACACAAGAATATAAAACTTCTGTCCATTACTATAACCAACAAAATTCCAAGAATGAGTTCAATGAAGTGATGGAGATAATTACCAGTTTCATTAATTAATTCAGTGAAACATACTGAAAATCTGCTATATGATGAGCACTATTATAGATGTGATTGGTGCAGTGTCTGTTTAAAGACTACTCATGTGGGGCTGGGAAGGTGGCTCAGTGGTAGAGCGCTTGCCTTGCATGCTTGAGGCCCTGGGTTCGATTCCTCAGCACCACATAAGCAAAAAGAAAAAAGCCGGAAGTGGCGCTGTGGCTCAAGTGGTAGAGCACTAGCCTTGAGCTGAAGAGCTGAGGGACAGCGGCCCAGGCCCAGAGTTCAAGCCCTATGACTGGCAAAAAAACAAAAACAAACAAAAAAAACCCAACCAAACCCTAATATTCATGTAGTAAGAGTCTTAGTAGGGAAGAAGCAAATTAGTATGGATAATACGAAAAAAAAATCTAAAACTTTACATATTTGGCAAAAAGTATGAATCTAAAGAATCAAGAAGCAGGGCTGGGAAGGTGGCTCAGTGGTAGAGCGCTTGCCTTGCATGCCTGAGGCACTGGGTTCAATTCCTCAGCACCATATAAGCAAAAAGAAAAAAGCCGGAAGTTGCGCTGTGGCTCAAGTGGTAGAGTGCTAGCCTTGAGCTGAAGAGCTGAGGGACAGTACCCAGGCCCAGAGTTCGCCCCATGACCAGACCCAAAACAAACAAACAAACAAACAAAAAAAGAACCAAGAAGCAAAATAAACTCCAAAATAATCCACACCAAGACAGACTAGTCAAAAATTCTAAAAACTAAGTACCAGTTATCACTTAATTACTACTCAGCACTCAAATGAGACCTTCCTAATCCATGCACATTACCCTCTGCATTTAGAATTACTTTTTCAATATGTACATGGTCCCCTAAACCTTATGTTCTCAGAAAGCAGGGACTTCATCATTGTTATAGTCAAAGCACTTTGATAAATAATGAATATAGATTTTCTTTAAAAAAAAATCCTCTTAGGTGACCATGATGGCTCAGGCCTATAAGCCCAAATATACAGCAGGAGGATCAATTATAACTTGAGCCCCAGCAGTTCAAGACAAGTCTGAGCAACACAGCAAGACTTCACCTAAAAAAAGAAAAATAAAAAAAGTGCTTTCTTCATTACAATTTGTTTTTGTCCTATTCTCCGCTGTTCCAGGGAACACCTCTTGATTAGCTGTGATTGCTTTCAGGTCCCCTCCCTCACCTTATTAGTCTGTAGAATTCTTGCATGAAATGCAGCTGGCCAGGCATGAAGCAACAGATAGGCATAGGAGCGAATGGCATACACCGGGGAATATTCCCAAGTCTGAAACCCCTTCCCATAGATGAGGTAGTGTGTCTAAAAGAAAAAAACAGAAGCAATCAGCCTTACAAATTCTTCAAAGTCTAATTAAGAGGAAACAGGTGATGTTTGGGGTAAAGACATAAGTACATAAAAATACTAAGTTCTCAATATCTGAATGTAATGGATAAGAAAACAAAATGACCCAATATTAACAATTTTAACATATAAGTGCTATAAAACTTCTCTTTGGTGAACACGAAAACCTTAAGTTTTAGTCACTTAATTTTTTAAATAGCCAAAATAGAAAAATCAAAATCTTGTATCCTCCTTAAACTACTCATGCCAAGTATCTATTCTCCTTTTGATACAAAATGTGAAAACTGTTCTTTTCAATTTTCTTTAATAGGAAGTCAACATTATTCTTAACGCATAAATTAAGAAATGGAATTATTAGCATTCTATTGAGTAACACTGTTGTGGTAAACATCAGAAGGAATAAAAAAGTAGAAGTGATCACCTATAGAGAATGGGGTTTGAACCTGAGGAGAACTCAGAACAATTTTCCTCCAAGTTTTGTGGTGTTAACTTTAAGAACTATGTCCAAGCTGGGAATGTGTTTAGTGGTATAGAGTGCTTGTCTAGCATGCACGAAGCCTTGGGTTCCATTCCTCAATACCTCATAAACAGAAAAAGCCAGAAGGTGCTGTGGTTCAAATGGTAGCATTGAGCAAAAGAAGCTCAGGGACAATGCCCAGGCCCTGAGTTCAAGCTCCAGGACTGGCCAAAAAAAAAAAAAAAAAACTCCAAAAAATTGTTTTTAAAAAAGTTAAAATTTGCTGGGCGCCGGTGGCTCACGCCTGTAATCCTAGCTACTCAGGAGGCTGAGATCTGAGAATCGCGGTTCAAAGCCAGCCCGGGCAGGAGAGACCGTGAGACTCCTATCTCCAATAAACCACTAGAAAACCGGAAGTGGTGCTGTAGCTCAAGTGGTAGAGCGCTCGCCTTGAGCTGAAGAACTGAGGGACAGCGCCCAGGCCCAGAGTTCAAGCCCCATGACCGACAAAAAAAAAAAAAGTTAAAAATTACAAATAACACCTTTGATGTCATGCAACCTTCAATTACATTCAACCTACCATTAATAGGTAATCAACAGCTTTAATTATGCAAGAGTAAAATTATTTTCCTACTAGTTAAATTGGTTCCCAGGTAGGAAAGTCAAAAACCAAAACCAAAATGATTCTGGAGACGTAGCTTAAGGGTGAAGCACTTGCTTTGTTTGCATAGGCCAGGGCATGAGTTTAATTCCTCATCAGCGCAAAGGAAAAAGAAATCACCTACTGGTTCCCAATAGTTGAATGTTTCATCACAGTCAGAGATGTTGCTCAGCAGAGCAGCGCACAACCTTGCTGAGAGAAGACACTTGAAAGCGGTAGACCCGTCAGGTGCCCAGACTTGGCTGGCTTTGTTCCCAGATAACCTGCCGGGAAAGAAAGTCAAAGACAAAGCCTCCATATCACATCAAGGCACTGAAGTCATTCTCAAAAAGGTAGAAGGGGGGGGGGGGGGCGGAGAGGGATGGGAAGGGGAAACAAAGGAGGAGGCCACAAGGCTTGATTTGAAATGCACTCACTATCTTGCCCATGTAATTGTAACCCCTCTGTATGGTATTTTCACAATAAAAATTTTTTTAAAAAAAGGTAGAACCGTGTGTGCTGTCTCGTTATTTATTGTCTCATATTAGCTGCAGAAAGCGTGTTCCTCGGTAGAATGGGTGTGGAATGAAGACCCCCCCCTGCTTTTAAGTCCTGCACGGATTTGGCTCGTGGCCTCCACAACACTCCGTTCACCGCAAGCCTGCGGGCCCTAGCCGGAGGCCCCAGGCCCTCCTCCCCGGGGCCTTCCCGGGGCTTCACCCGCGTCCCCTCGGACGCCAGAGGCTCGGGCCGCGCGAGGGGCAGGACCTCCTCCCACCGCGTGCGGACGCAGCCCGCAGGCCCGGGCC